ATGGTTAAAAATTTAATTTTGTTTTATCGGACATTGTGACGATGTCACAATTGCTCGTTTATTACTTGTTATAATTTTTATGAAAATCGAATCCCGGGATTTTCCCTAGAATTTTAATATAAGAATAACTATGAAAAAGTTAATCTCGATGGAATGGCAAATATAATATATTAAATAATATATGTTTTTTCTGTAGAATTATTTCGGAAAACTGTTAGTAGCAATGTCAATGCCAACTAGTTCTACATTTATGTATGGTGCAGTGCATTTTGATCTCAATTTTTTGCGGAGATTTGAATGTTATATTCAATAAAATATTTTCCAATGAAATTATTTTTTAAAATTTTACAATTAATTAATGAATGTTAAATATAAAGTAAAATTGGTAATGACCTCATATATTTATAAGTTTAACATCAGTGAATATTTACGAAAGTTGGCCCCCTGCCTGCAGCAAATGACATATTGTTATAGGCATGGAGCCAACTTTTGTAATTATCGGTACCTGAACAACTAACATATTCAATAGCATAAAACATATAATAAATTGAAATTTATATTCTAATACATACAGTAAAATTTTGTTTTATTATTTATTCAACAGTTTTCTGTATTAAATGTTTCTAAATATTGCAAATTCACAAAACAACATTTAAAAAATTCATTTTATATTAAATGAAATCATATTTTGTTTCATTTACATTGAAATATTATCTATTATCTACTTTAATGACTTCCTTTGTTCTATCTAATTATTATATCATGAAATTATTAAAAACATAAAATATATTTTTAAGCTATATATTATATTCTATTCTCTACCATAACCCAATTTCAGTAATTACCCGTCATTAATTTCATTTCTGAATCAATAAGAAAATAGTTTGTTATTCTTAAAAAAGTTCGATAACAAAACGATTATTATTATTATTAAGAAATTAAATTTATAAAAAAAATAATTTCAGCACACTCAACTATAAAATGTAAAAATAAAGGTAAAAAAAGGATTGGAATGTTTTTCTTCAATTGAAAAATTATGCGTTTGATCCCTTGCAGAATGCAATTTAAGGTATAAAATGTCTATATAATTGAAATACAGTATATAACATTTTTATTATAGGAATATAAAAGCTTACGATTTATTTATTTACAAAATTATTTAGAATTTCTGAAGTTTTATTTTAATAAGTTATCGAAATTAATGATAAATGTATTTGACTTACTTCAACTTATTCTTTCTGTTCTTACAATGAGCGTCATAACTTATTTGAATTAATGAAAAAAATTATTTAGAATTTCTGAAGTTTTATTTTAATAAGTTATCGAAATTAATGATAAATTTATTTGACTTACTTCAACTTATTCTTTCTGTTCTTACAATGAGCGTCATAACTTATTTGAATTAATGAAAAAAATCTTATAGAAACTAATAAAGCATAGGATATTAATTTCTGTAATTTTTTGCAAGAGAGAAGAAATGAGTTAGAATTTGTTCTATTAGTCAGTCTATTAATGAGAATTTGATAAAAAATGATTNTGATCAGGGAATATTTACAAAATTATTAATTAGATATAATTTTAGCATTTTTGTGATTTGTTCTTTAAATTAAAGTAAAATGCATTATAATAAATTAAATATGGTTTGCTATAAGTTTAAGAATAAGATTCCTTATTATATAAATGTGTAGAAATTAAATCATCATCTTCTTTATCTTTGCCCTTTTCCCATATTTTATATGGGGTCGGCATTTCCTTCTCTAATATGTTTCTTCCATTTTTTCCTGTTGAGGACATCTTCTCTCTTAAATCCTCTCTGATTTGAGTCTTCTTCCATTTTATCCTTCCAATGCAGGCCTGGTCTTCCTCTCTTCCTCCTTCCTTTCACTTTCAGTTAGTTTTCCAACCCTCTTTCCAACATAATCTTCACTACTTCACTCTATGTGGACAAACCACCTCAACCTTCATTCTTGCATCTTCCTGCTCAAGGGACCCATTTTAACAGAACCTCTAATAAACTCATTCCTTATTCTATCTTTCCTTGACACTCTACACATCCATCTCAACATTCTCATCTCTGCCACCTCCATCTTTCTTTCTTTCTTTGAATAGAAATTAAATAGGTTCATTAAAAATAATAGTATATCTAAATAAAAATCTTTGAACATTTGAAATCCTTTTCAGGATTCATATTACATAACATAGGGAAGAGAAAAAATTTTCTTGAAATGCATTACAATTTATGTTGAATAGTTCATTCAAGAAATGTTATATAAAAATATTTATTTTTAGGATTAGATTATAAAATTTTATTTTTTAATGTAAGAAGAACAAATTTTAATTAAAATTTATTTAAGAATCAATGTGCCATGATTCAATATTTAACTTGCTAATTATTATATTATTAAAATCTTCATGCGATCTACATTACTTAGTCTAAATTCTTACTCTTATTAAATTTAATTTATAATTGATTATAATAATACTGTTGACATTTGAACAAATATAGAAATTATAAATTCTTAAAAATTAATTACTAAAGCATTAAGTCATTTTTTTTTAAAAGAAATTAAATAGATAAGTATTCATTTATGAATATGTAATAATAAATTGAGGATATTTATAATAAATTCTTTTATTTCCTAAATTATTCCTTTATTAAAAATAAACATAAATTTATCGTACTAAATTAACTTTTTATTCCCATAATATGTAAAGTGTTTGTATTCTATTATATTCTAATGTAACTTGTTAGATATATTTACTAGAAACTTAATATTCTTCTATACCTATTATATCAAGGTAGTCAATTTTCTTGCACCCGTGTCTACTTTACATTTGTTAAAATATCTGAAAAGAAATTCTAAAATTTGCTTGAAAAAACTGACACTCTTCGTATTTGAAAATTTCAAATTTATTCTGATTATAATAATTCTTCATTCCCTCTCTCAATAATTACTTCAATGACTATGAAAAATGGATCATATAAACATAAAATATATTATTTTCTTTAAGCTTAGGGAAATGATATAGGCTACGTAAATTAATATCACTTTACCAACTTTTCCCCTATCCATCATTCCCCTATCTATCATGGATTATCCCTATTGTGGGTGCAGTCAGCCCCACAATAGGGATAATCGGGTGTTGAGGGAAGGGATTGGAATTGCTTGAACAGATTCGATTTCGAATCCTCAGAGCGTGCGGCTTAGACCTTAACTACTTGGTCCTCCAACTTTATTATTGGATCACTAAGTTGTTCTATTTATTGACAATACAATATTCATTAAAACATGAACACATGAACGTTTGCTATTGAAATGCTACTCATTAATTAGCTGTTTGGAAAATAATAGAATATTTGAATTTTTGATAATTCTGGAATATTTATATGATTAATTTCACGAGAAAATAATATTTTATTCTTAGTTTTATGTTCAGTTATGTAAATTTGCAATATAAATATACCTTTTAAAGTGGAAACAAAGTAAATCCATAATTTTCATCAATTCTACAAATCCTCTTAAATTCAACTTTAATATTTTCTATAACTTTATTAATCAAATTATAATTTTCTAATTGAATCTATCATAGACAAATTGAGATAATTTTAATTTTTAATTCTTCAATAATAATGTCAAGCATTAATGTAATTCCGATTTTAATGAAACTAGAATTACTATTTCATGATGTGATTATATTTTATTCTAATCGATATAGGCTAGGTCAATTTTCTGAATTATTCACTCACAATAAGTCTTTTTTTATAATTACAAAAATTGCAACTTGTACTATAATCTACATAACAATTTGTACTTAAGAATTATTTTAACTTGTATAATTGAATAATCCATGAACTCTGAAATAATTAAAGAATTCATAGAACTTATTTTGCTTTAAATTAGCTTGACCTTACGTTCTAGACAGGTTGTTTAACTCTAAATAGAGATTAGTGTGACCTTAAAGGATAAAAATTGAAAATTATAGTGATATATTCAAGATTATTTTCTATTTCTTTCTATCTATATTTAAAAACTATAAGTTAACTTAATGCATTAATAAGATTTTTCAGAAGGTAATTCTTAAAATAAGTTTGTAAAAATCTTTAAAAGAAAAATAAATAAACTTGCATTAATTAACAAATAAAAGTTGTATTGCACTCAATGCACCTCATGCACATGAATCTTGAAAGAGTCAAATTTTTAAAATATAAAAAAATATTTTGGATAGATGTAACTAGTTTCTTTTTAAGTAAAATGTTTGGACCACTATTCATAAAAATTTGAAAACTGATTTCTATATTTCAAATGTAGTAAATAGTTGTGGATAAATTCTGGTGTCATTAAAATAGGATTATGAATACTTAACTTTATTTTTGTGCAATTAAAAATTAAAATTTGATATTCTAATTGAGTGAAAACACTAATTTATTTATGATAAGTTTCTTTATGACATAATCTTCCAATTTATAAAATTATTTTCCCTATTTAGTTTATATGTTGCCAAAATGTTAATGCTGTAATTAGATAATTAAAAAATTAATTTCCTAAAACAAAAACTAAAAAAATTCTGGATTATATAACAACATGACATATGAATATCACATGTATTATAATTATAATATTATAATTACTCTTGTCTGAAATTATTCACTAACTTTTAAACTTTTCAGAACTATATTTGTAATAATTTAATAATTAATTATTTTGAAATGAAAATGAAGCAATATTATATTAAAATGAATCAAATATACTTGAAAATTTTTCCTAAGAATTTATACCTTTCACTGTCTTCATGTATGTAGCTGTACAGGATGAAATTTCAAATTTTGAGTATTGAAAACAATAAATAATATTTGTTTAGTCATGATAGATCTAACAGCAAGTTAACTTTAGAAAAATTAATGTACTATAAAAATTTAACAGATTCATTGGTAAGGTTTATAAACTTATGTAGCTTAACTTAATTCATAGACTTATAACTCCAGATTACAATTCTTACAACAAAATACTATAATAGATAGAAAACTGGTTACTTTATTACATGACACAAAAATATCAGATATTTGTAATTTGACAAACTATTTACATTTTTGTTCTATTTACAAAAGAATAAAAGCGCACATGATACAAAAGGGAAGAAGGAATGTTATCGCACTAACCAAATTCGATAGTTCTTCCAGTTAAGTATAAAAACTTTTTGTTAATTAAAAAAAATCAGCGAAAGATACACTATAAATACGAATATAACTAAAAAAACGAGGTAAAATTCTAATATTGACAATTTAATAATATAAATACGTTTGATTGAATTAGCATTAGACGATGTATTTTCTTTACGTATAGGCCTAATTTTATACAAGATATTCTGACTTCAATTTACAAGATTTGAAAATAGCTCTCTCGACTACATTTGGGTAATCAGCGTCATCGTGAAAATAACAATTATTTTTTTTTTCCTTTAGCAGATTGAGGATCACAGATTATCACAACATGGATGCTACTTCCCTTAGTGTTCTTACGCTACTCCTAACAAGAAAAGTTAAATGATGCTCTTCTACCGCAGTTAGATTTGTCAAAAGAGGACCCGCTGCTAAATTTTTCAATTTTCGTGCTCTTTCTACATCCAGCCATCTCTGAAGCACACCGTCCGTTTTTAACGACATCCTATCTGAAGTGCTAACCGCTTCCTCAGCATTCCATAATACGTAGTCTAAAATACTTTTCGCCTGAGAAAGTGAATAAGATTTTTCTTTTTGTAAAACATCTGTTATAACTAAAACTGCCTTTCTATAAATTGGTTTTGAAGTTTTTACATCTTCGACTTTTTTAATTCCTAAAAGGAGTAGCATTATAGATAGAGCGTAACTGCATAGTGTAATTCTAGGTGAATCTGTCGTGGATAAAAATAAATCCCCAGCTTGTTCGAATGGCAGATCTGGAGATAGGAACACTAAACTATTAAGGCGATCTTTTTCTGTTCTAGCAAAGAATACATTATGGCCTCCGGGTTCGATGTCTTCGATTCCACTAGCTTGAAGTATTTTCAGGGAGTGTATCAGTTGCAGCATAACAAAAAATACCTCCTTTTCGTACTCTTGTTCTTCCACTAACGAACGAAGCGGAGATAATCTTGCCCTATGCAAAACGTAAACGGAAGTCAAAATTCCTTCTGAATTTGTACTGGAACCTACTTCCGGAAATGCGTAATTTCTTGGCACATGATCCATAAAATGAGCAAGTATGGGATAACGGGCATAATTCCTACTTCCACTCAAGGAAGAATGTAATCCCCATGGATTGACCTGACAAGAGACATTCAATAATCAACAGTCTTATCATTAATAATAGATTTCATAATTTATACAAAACATAATATTCTTCTTTCGAAACTTTAAAAGTACTTATATCAATATGTTTATAAATTTTATATTTGTTATTTACGGTTTAAAATGTAATAACATTAACACAGTTGTAAGTCTATAGTCTAACTTGTAAGTGCACATGATAGGGCCTGCATTATTAATAAATTATTAATTTTATTAATGCATATAAATGTTATATTTAGCGTAATTATTTAACGAATTGCTAATACAACTTTGTAACCACTGATAAATGTTTACTATTGATATGCATTAATTTCCGCTTACCAGAAGAGTGACGGGCATTCTGTTTCCATGCCTGAATGTGGCGTCATAGATAACTTTATCAGATAATATCTGTACAGGTTGTTCGATTTCTAAATCAAAATCTGACCACAGAAGCGATTCTTTATCTGGTCTTTCCAGCTGATAATATCTATCGTGTAAAGCCTACATTTCGTAGAATTGGTCGTTATTAAGGTTAATTATTTCAGAGATAAAAGTAATAGTTAAACAACAACTTACATTATCCAGTAATCTTGCAAGAACGTCTAGATTTACAGCTGATAATAAAGAATAACTAGCTTCAAGATTTGTCCAACATTTTTCATCCGATCCACTGCTGCACGTTATTCTTCCATAAGGTGGAGGAGGTGGAACTGGAGGACTCGTCTGTGTAACTTTTGGACAATCTGAAGGTTTTGTGCCATTTTCATCCTTTTTCGATTCGGAACAACTTTCGTGAGCATTTTTCGGGGATGGTGCCTTTAAATTTATAAATTCGTTATACTTTTTAATTAAATTAATAGTATAAACACAATAATTTACTGTTATTTATTCGTTTTTGCTAATATTTTAAAATATCAGCATTAAAATTTTCGTAAATTATTCATTTATTTTCAAGACATTATTACTTTTTCGTATTTATTCGAATTTGGATAACAAAAGCAGAATAAAATTCGTTTTAAATATTATCCTTATAATACGATGATAAATATATTAATGATTAAATCAAAGATAATTTATCTTACATTTCATAAAATAATAAATAGGCTAATATAAGATAAGAACAATTATTAAGGCAACCATTTAAAAAATCGATAGTTAATTCATTTATCTATCATACACAAATACTATACACACATTTGTTCTGAAATCTGTAGGTTTTTTTTGCACAAACTAATTAAATACGTATCTTTTACAATTACAATAAAAAAAAAACAGATATGTTTTTGAGTAATTCTCTTCTGTTCTAAATTATTAATTAAGAATATTGTTAGTGGGCAGAAAAAGATTATGTGACACGCTATATTAAACTCCAATTAACAAGTTGGAGCTGAATCTATCTAAGAAATATAAGACAGAAATATTATACACAATAACAGATAATCTAAGTACAGTATTTACAGTCATTCGAGTTATGGCCCTACTGAAACCGAATAACTCGGATAGATATAAAAGCAATTTTTATAGTTGATGTAGTCAATGTTTAATAAACTCAATTTAATTTTGTAAATTAGATTAAATTATCTTAATGATATAGTTGCGTGTTAACAACAGGCGAGGGCATATAACACACACAATCATCGAATCTATATTATTTGGCTCTGAGAGATTAAAACTATTAATAAATACTATATTATTGTATCACTGAAAGTTTATATCATTGAAATATTAACTGAAAGTTTATATCATTGAAAGTTTAACATATCAAAATGTTAAACTTTCTTTAATACTAAAGAAATTTCAATATTGAATATAGAATATATGTGTCTTGTATAATTAATATTACTTAAGATATATAAAATTGCATTCTGTTATTCGTTCTAGGAACAACAAATTAACTATAAAAAGTCTAAATCATCATTCGTTTCTATTCAATTATTTACTTATTCAAATATGATTCAACGGATCAAGTTTTGTTATTCAATAAGGTAGACTTATAGTTCTTTATATTCGTCCTTCGTTTATTAGTATGTTAGAATTGTTCCAATCAATCGCATTTAAATAGAAGAAACCACTATTCATCATCAATATAATAATTAGCTGAAACATAATAATAATGCAATCAATATGACTAGACTATTATCTTAAATGAATAAACTTGAGACAATAAGGTTTGTTAAATTAAAATAATATAGTATTAATATAAGCAATGACATGACTCAATCAATAATATAATCGATAACATAATCAATAATACAATCATGGATGAGAAGTTATGGATAATTTTCAAGAAAATTTAATATCTAAAACGTAGACTATGATTCCATAAACATTTTATTTAAAAAAAAATACATATTTCTCCTTTGTTGTATTGAGTTTTTATTCATCAATTATGCACTTTTCACGTTTAATATAAATAATGCAATATCTAGATGAATAAATTATTATTATGCATTATACACATTAATAATTTAATTAAAAATAATGCATTATTCATTTTATTAATAGTATTGCTGAATATTTTCGCATGGATCATCAAGTATTAAATTATACTCGTTGATTATAGTTAAAAAGAAAAAAAAGTTCAATAATAAATAATTTCTTGATGAATATAGAATGATCCAGAAGTAATAGGACAATTAAACACTCGTTCAGTCAATTAAGTCAAAGTTTAAGGGTAAAAATAGGGCCTATACCGACTTAGAGTAAACAAGTTTAATATCCGATTTTCTCAAACTTTCTTTTGTGGCCGTAAATTTCTTTTTATCAAGAATATGTTCAAAGAATAAATAAACGATTTTATAGTTTAAAGGTTGTCAAGACACCATTTCATTTGGAATGCAGCCGTAGTGTATATCTTAATCGTCTGTATTCACACGGAACATAAGAGAAAATGAAGATCATGGACCTATCAAAGGGTAGGGTACACAGGAAAATATGTTTGAGTTAAAAGTACCGGGCACTGCATGAGTACAGGTCTTGTAGACTGCTTCGAATTTAACACAGTTCGACTTAGCGAGATTTTACTTTAATATAGAGGAAAGTTGGTATTATGGAACCCTGCAGGTATTATGGAATCCCTCCATTTCAAACTGATAATAAAGGCGAACTGTAGCGGATTGTGGCTGAACTGCACTAGACAGACATCCATAGCAAGGAGAAAACTTGTTTCAGTTCAGTTAAACAGTTGTCCGTAGTGAATTAGCATATTTGTGTTTTTCGAAATTTGAAAGTTTTCAATGGTAAGTGAATTTATTTCTAAAATATAAATCGTGTAGTTGTAGGTTCACTGATGCATGTATTCCGTTCCAGAGACTTAGGGGTACATATTAATCTGTGTGATGTTCACGTTTTTTAAAGTTTCGTCTTGACAGACACAAGTTAATTCAAGATGGCGATGCGTAAAATATGGACCCCATTCGTGCTTTTAATATGGAATCCAACTCCTCTGGGACCCAAGTCCTCCGAATCTCTCTTTGCAAGCAGACATTCGTCCGGAGCACTAGCAATTCTTCCTGAGAATATCGAAAAAGAGCTGCTGGAATATATATTGTTGATGGAGGCCATATTTTTCTATTATAAAAGCATTTTTTCGATAAAATACATTGCAGTAAATAATTTTGTAATTATTTAACATTCTTTGTACTTTCCTATTCGTTTCTGGATACATTAAAGCAGTTTTTGAAAACATACAGTAAGATTCCATATTACCACCCGGTTTTCCCTAAGACTACTTTCTGACTTTTTGTACAGAAGCTTCAAAAACCATACTTATAATTACACTAGCGAAAAATTCAATTAGGAAGATTTAGTTTAATAGTTACCGGTACTTTTTGCACAAAATGTGGGTGTAGTTATGATACCTTATTTACAATTCACTATAATTTAATTGCAGTTCTATAATACCACCTTATCCTCTATTATTTGGACTATTAAATTGACTTTTCTTTAATGTTTTTAATTAAAATTATTTTAATTACTTAGATTTCAAAAACTCTAAACAATGAAGGGCCAGAACTGTGAAGAACCATAATTACCACCATTACATAGACAATAATCGATAGACCTACGTTAAACGCATTGCTATAAATGGACAATACTTTGAATAATTGTTGTTTCTTTTGAGTGTCTAAATATGTTGTGATAATAAAATTTTTCTGTTATAATGTAAACTTTAATTGCTCCATTATTTCTGGAGCATCCTGTAGCCGATAATGAATTCGAATGAATGCTCTGAAAAAAAAGAAAAAAAAATTAAACTATATAACTCTAGAGATTAGATGCAAAGTCTCTTGATATGAATATACATTTATTTATTTATAATTTAATAAAATTTCTCGAAACTCGTAAAACATTCGACGGCGAATAACGGCAATAATTGTAATTAATCTACTTGAATATATTTCATTGCTTTCAGTCACCAAAATATCAGTTTATAATCATAACAAATATAGAAAATACATAAGATTTACGTGAAAAAATAGACGAAGTGGAACACTTCCAACCAAACTAAATAAAATTAGAATGCTGTTTTTAGATTCGTTCAAGTAAAAAAAAATTGCTACTGTCATGTTTAAATAACACACAATTTTATTAATTGAAAAAGCTTCTAGTTAATTCAAAATTACGATAATAATTAAGTAAATANTAATAAATTATAATTTTCTAAAAAAATATTGTGAGAAAGTAATTTAGATGACAGTTAAATCTTTACATAAGAAAACACAAAAGAATAATTTTAATAAATAGGAAAATGACTACGATTGTTTTTTAATTTTATAATTTAAAATGTATAACTAAATAATATAAATTATTTGATAATCTATTAAACCATTATTAATTATTCCATTAATTAATTATTATTCGTATATTTTAAATTTAAACGTTAGATTATAAGATAATGCATTATATAACATATAATTTCGATATTCTTCTAAGTGCAATCAAACCTCTGAACAACGACCACTGAGAAACATAAAAGATAGCCGTTGTTTGGAGGTTATTTTTTGTATGCGTTTTTGTTCAAAAAATTTAAAAAAAACCTTTAAAAATGGCCGCTGTTTAGAGGTGTCCGTTGTTGGAGGTTAGACTGTATTTTATTTAAAGTCGCTAAAATATACACATACACATTAATTATAAAATAATTATTAAAATTAATTAAGAATAAAGCTTAAAAACTGCGATATATTCGTATTATTATTTACTAATTATTAAAAAAAATTGTATAGTGCTTTTATATAAAAGACTCGTTTAGAAAAAGAATAGGCCTATGTTTATACATTTTATTACCGCATCACAGTACTTACCACTTGAGTATCGTGATAAATTTCATCGAAAGGCTCGTAAACATCGCATTTTTTAACAGTTTCCGGTTTTTTCTCCAACTCCGTTGTTGTCCTCTCTGGTTTTTTAGGAGCAACTGATGTTCTGATGTCGCCTATCAATAGATTTTTATTTTTATTCGCTTCTATATTTATTGTTTAAAATTAGAATCAACACATTCATTTATGAAAATATGTAAGCAATTTATCCTTCTGTGCACGCTGTAAAAACATACATGACATGAAAACAGATGGGAATAATTAATGTAAGATGTTTAAAATCCATAAAACTGTACTATAAACGTATTGGTTTAGTCGAGCAGATCCGCCATGTGGGGAGCATGTGTGAGAATTATGTCTGTACAAGTTCAACCACATTCAATAATTGAACTTAGTTTCTTATTCTTTCAGTTAAACATTAAATTTCATATGCTAGGATTCTCATCCTAATAAGCTAATTTATTTCAAATTCTATAGATAAGTTAACAATAGCAGTATATTGAATAATGATAGCTCTACCTACTGAATAACAATACATAAAAACTCACCCAAATTAGCGTATTCTGACTTTCCATTACATTTATACTGTCTTTTAGGTACTTGAGGTTTCGAGCTATTATCAATATTTTCACTTTTATCATCTTTATTCTCTACCTAAAATTTTTATGTTTAGAAGAAATTATTTAAAAACGCTTAAATTAAAAAAAAAATAGACAATTTTATTGATTTATTTTTTACTTTGGGACTATCTTTAGATATTTCTTGCTGCTTTGAGCTTTTGTCTGGTATCATAGACTGTGCTCTAGGAGGCGGGGGAGGTTTTGGAGGTCTCGGAGGTCTCACACTTGCTCTTGAACTTCCTGCACTCGTACGAGATGGTAATGTAATTGACTCCTATTAAACATAATTCATTAGTTTACATTTTAAAAAGGAAAAAAATACATATTCTATAATTATTTCTAACCTAGTAACACAGAAAGTAATAAACAAACTCGTCATGCACGAGTAAAATTTATTTTGTTAAAATTTCGCAACATCTTACTTAATATTTAGTTAAAGGTTGCAATTTTCTTTATTAAATTAATTTTCTCTCTAAACTCTGCGTAATAATAATTAAGTAAGAGATAGATCTGGAAAGAATTATGTTTTTACTCGTATATGTTAATTAAGTAAAATATGATGATAAAAATGTCATTCCTCTTAAAATCTATAGATTCAATTAAGCGAAATAATGAAGATTACAAGTCTACATGGTCATTATCAATAATACTTTGTGTTATTGACGCCTGGTTAATTGGTTTGGGTCAATAATGAGGGAGGAAACCTTAATGCGTCAAAAGAGTTGGGAACATTGCCAAATGGCTTATGACGTTTGATTATTATTATAGAGGAAGGTTTAATACTCGTAATACCATATGAACATATTGAATTTAGAGGATATGACATTAAATAATAATGATTCATAACGTGCAGTCAAGTATTATTGTAAAATATACAGATTCTGTATTTAAAGAACTAATCAGTTAATTTATTATAACAGACGTATACGAAACAACAAGAAATTTATGGCAATGATATAAAGAGGATTAACACGTAACAGTCATTTTCGCCATGATTTAATGGTGTTTGGAGTATATGTACAACTCAGCTAGAATAAAAATAACTTGGCTGTATGTCCCCACCCTGTCTCGTGTACGTTTAAAGTAGGAAACATTTATTATTGTTTAGAAATACTGTATATATTTTTATAACAGTATACTTTGTTCTTTATTCGCTGATCAAAAATATGTTAATGTAAATATTATAGTCTATAATTCAATGAAAATGAATTCAAAGTAAATACTTACATTAGCATCACTAGCAGCTGGTATAAACACATTATCGTATCCAGATTCGGTAGTAACAGCATTTGATGATCCCTGATTATTTTCTTTCGCCGAAGTATTATCTAAATCTGGACTTTTCCTATCGTTTACTAGATCCATCGGATGAATAATTTCCAATTTAACTTTAGAAAAGTCATTTTGTTTCCAAGCTTTAGGATTTGGTGTTCCTGCTTCGATGGGTGGGAAATCTTCTACATCTCTACTTCCTCTTTTTAACAGTTTCTTAAGCGAAAATTTTTTCCTGTTCTTGTTAAAAGTATCATCGGCACTTCCACTTATACACATCAGTATCTTTGAACGAGAACCTCCTGAACTTAAAGCGCCTTTTTGTTTATTAGCGGAATCTTGATTTACAACAGGAGTGGTACAAACTGACGTCGTAGAATATGGTGTAGGTAAGGAACTTCGAGAAAGATTCTGTACCGGGGTAGAGTACCCAGATGCATCAGGTGGGGAGGGAGCTTGTCTTTTGATTGGAGTTCCACCGGAATATCTAGCTTGTTCTAATTCTACTGCAAGAGCTGCTAATTTTGACCTACGAGAACCGTCTGGAGGTGAAGGGGTTCGATTGGGTTCAATATCTTGATAAATTTTACATTCCGCGTAATGATTTATTATAGGTATGGATTCAGATCTGGGATGTTGTACATTATGTTTACTATTTTCTGCAAGAGCTGGACTTACTGCATAATATATCGTTCTTCCATCGTCGTATAGTAAAGAATCATCGATAACGTCGCTTACTTTATCGCTTCCCGAAGCTTCGTCAATATATTTTACTGGCACTTGCGGTTTTTGATTAGTTTCTTCGCACGCATCTACCGATTGATCCTGATCGTTTGACTGCTGATTCATATCCAAATGAAATTCTTCTGGCGACTCTCTGGAGGGAATTGTTTCTTCCGAAGAAGACGAATTGCTTCTAGATACGAAAAAGTCGTCCCCTGGAGTATATAATGCTGTGGGAGCCGTTAATTCGTCAGAACCTCCATGCAAAAACGAAGTTCTAGGCACTAATGATTTAGAAGCTGCCACATCGTTAATATCGTTATCGACAGATTGATGGTTCTCTTCCTCGGGATTCGCAACTGTAGACTTAGAGGTATCATCCCTTTCTCCATTGATGCACAACGTCTCCGTTTCTATGGAAGTTACGGTAGGAATCTCGTTTATAATCTGTCTAGTCTGCAGTTTGTCACTCACTGCAGTGCCGACTGCAGACTGCTCGTTCCAAGTGGTCTGCCTGAAAAACGGTTTCACCGACGCCTTGGGAGGTGGCTCCCCCTTTCGACGATTTTTCGCATTACGCTCTTCCTCCGTCACAGCCTGATTAGAAATAAGCAAATTGGCATTTTTGGCATTGAATTCTGTATTTTCGCGTGTTATTTTACTAATTGCACGATCTTCTTCGGTTTCGTCTAAGCTGTCTAAAATTAATTCGCTATCTTCGTGGTTGGAAAGCTCCCATTCGGGTTCATCCGGATCGTAATCGTTACCACCGTACCCTATAACTAAAGGCTCTTCTTCCTTAAAACCAACATTGATTTTCGTCTGAGTTTGAACTTGTTTTTTCTCACTTCCGGGAATTCTAAGGATTCCAATAATTTTTTCAGTATGGCCATTTATATGCTGAATTTCCGTTTTCTTATTGTTATTACTTAAGATATCGTTTCCATTTAAAGCGGGCACGATAGTTAATAATTTACCATGAAATCCATTCTCCAGTCGAAAAGGTTTGGTGCAATTTCCATTTCGATCTCTATCCGTTATTAACGATTTCCAAGTGGTTTTAGTAACGTTATCGCAGTCTCCGTTCATGGAAGTATGATCGTCGAATGATTTAAAACAGTTGGAACATAGATCTTTTTTCCAAGCATTCTGTACAAAATTCTGGCAGATGACTGACATAACTATGATTGATTTACTTTTTAATTATTCTGAAAAAGAAAAAAAACATCCAGAAAAGAATTCCATTACTATATTTTAATAAAGGTATATTGTCCTATAAATTATATTTAAAAAATTAAATTTGAGTGATTTATTTAAATTCTTCTATAGGAATTTTTTAATAAATTGAGATCTTAAACACACTAAGCTGAAAGATTAAATGGAAACTAATTCAACTGGAAAGATATTTTATAAAGTGTACAAAGTAAGAGGTTTTTGATGGGAATTTTAAGGATAATTATGATTCTAGTCAAGTTCACTCTGGTTCCTTCTAAAGGTAATCAAAATAACTTCGACGGCCATCTACCATCTGTTAGGCTCCACCAATATCTTCTTTCGTAGCAGGTGTTCTTATTAAAGTAAGGTGAATGGAATATAAATTCTGACTGAATTTTAAAATTTTTATTTAAGTGATTGGACACGCTAATAAAAAAAAAACTTATAAATTTTAAGACAAGATTTAAATTAGTAATTAAATTCTAATATATTTCCGCATATTTATCTAGTGATATATACGTTCAAAACTTAGTGAAATTAAATCTGTTTCTTAAATGTTACAAAGCAAACACGCCCCTATTACATATACCGTCATCACACGCAATATTTTTATATCGTAATATAAATACGGTATAAGGGCGTATATGTTACAACGTAAAATGAAACTGGTGATTTAATCATCTGAGAACGACTATCTTTCGCAAATAATTCGGTATGTAGACGTGCTATTGACTTATGATACATCTAAAATGAATGCGATTTTTGTAAATATCTCAAATCAGACTGATTCAATAATATAGCACATAATACAAGAGCGATGAACACCGTTATTAATTTTTAAGCTAGTCTATTTAAATATTGTTTTATGCAGTTCTAAATTTATAAAATGAGCAGATGAGATGCATACATTATCAAATACTTGTATATTTTACTTAAAACATTGATTTTTATATATATATATATATACTTCGCTCTATATAAATAAAAATGTACTAGTAAATTTATTAAGACTTATTTCCCTTAATTATTCATTTAATTATTGTTTTTCGATTATCAGTGGAGTGCCAATGCGACACATCCAGTAATTCGATACACCTCAGGACAACACACATGGAATTTTGTAGTTTTTTACGGTTTAAAAGTTAAATTTTGTAGTTTACATATGTAGTTTTTTTTAATACTTTATACAGTACTCTATACTGTTTGATTAGTTTTGTTAAGTTGTTGTATTAATAAACAGAGTGACTTGTTCTTGTATGTACTGAAGTTCTATTTTTTTTAAATTCAAAATCCAGTAATCCGAAACCCGCCGACCCGATATATGTCAGATTACAGAACCTCTACTGTATTAATATGCTTAAATATTTTTAAAATCTGTACATATTTATTATATTAATAGTATATATTGTGAATATAAAGCTGTATCATCTTTAATATAGGCTATATATTTTTGTGCGGATGTAATTCTTAGTATATATATATATATGATGACTATATAAAATATTATAAATTATATAAATATATGAAAAATATAAGCTCTTGAGTATAAATACAGTATAACTAAATATAGACACCTATACGGGTTTTTCTCATGCGTATACAAAGCTTGATAAACAAAAAAGAAGATTAAAGGACATTATCATTATTTGTTGAAGGTCTTTGAAACGATTATCAATTGAAAATACATTTACTCATTAATAGCCTAGTTAAATACAATGTCCTAATTTCTTAAAATTAAAAGTTATTCACCTATTTATATCAAATTATATGCTTCGTTTTTCATATACAAGGCCGGAAGAACAATATAAAATAATCTTATAATTTAAAAAAATATATGTTTTTTTAACTTTTTCATGTTTAAATCATAAAAAATGGGATAAAATCATAAATTATTCATAACGATTATACACGTTTATTGTGCTTATTGTTCCAGTTAAATTCTAATTTATTGAATAGGATTAATCTTCTTTTAAGCTTTCAATGTTTAAAAAGTTACTCACAAAAGATGCAATAAATAGAGGGATATCATATAAATTAAAGGCATTTAGAATGAAAAACTGATGTTCAAAGAGTTACGATCGTATATTATGGCGCTATCACATCAATTACTGTATTTTTAATAAAGAAAAACTCCACACAGGAAACAGAATCACGTGATTTTCATTCATCTTCAAATAAGCAACTTCCTGCAATCCTTCATGGTGTAATTATGAAGTAAAGTAGATAAGAGAACTTATCCATGACACTCAATTATCCGGCTATTCCTTTCTCCTTTTAGAATTCACGTTTTTTCAATTGAAATGCTTGAATTTTTTCCGCTTAAGATTTAATAGAATTTGGAAACAAACCAGTATATAGATTGATTTTTTGATAAAAATCGTTAGATTCGGTTGCTTATGGAGAAAAATATTAAAGTACAACCCCGTTATGGATAAAACTAAGGTATCACCTGATCTATAGAGTAAATCTAAGGAGTGGCTCAGATCCGGGAGAAGCATGTCGCGAATCAACATAGTTGATCACTGATGCGAAGAAATTCCGTTTAAGAAAGCCTACAAGATGGTTCAATCCCCGTTATTCTTTGCTGTTAAAATAGTTTATTCTTCTTATTATTACTTAATAGCATTATTAAAACACGAAGAACAGCAGAGCACAAAAGAATTAAACGTTCTAAGAATAATATACATAATTGTATACTGAAACCCATTAATGATGATTTTTGGATATTAAAAAATGTTACTTTTTAGGTAAAATATGTTTGCTTATACAAGACATTTATACAGAAGATTTACGTAAATTTAAACAATATAAATTAGTCACTAATTTATATTACGTAAAGGTGATTATGTAATTGTCAAGGTTATTTATATCACTCAGGTAATAGTGTTTAAGTACTTTAATAAGGGATAGAAACAATTTCTGAGTATTATTACGGTAAATCATCCATAAAATGGAAAATTTAATTCGAAGAACTAGAAACCACTCGGTAGCAAAACTTCTTAAGTTTCTAGTATAGCCTAAACTTGTAGAATAATGAGATTTTAACCAATTAAACATTAACAGAAAGGAAAAAACTTACAAAACTTACAATGAAATAGAGAACTTGAAAAATATAGAAAATGTTCAATTAATAATTGAATACACGCAATCGAAATTCATTCAAATAAAACAATCATTATATATTAACAATGAATCGTAATAAATTAAACAATATAAATGAGTTTTATAATTAAGTTTTCGAACAATCTAACACTGAAAATCTGGGTCTTTCTCACATCCCTATTCGCTGTGAAAGAAATATTTTTTTTTTATTTTCTTTTTTAACAATTCTTATCGCAGCAAAACAATCAACATGAATTTCAAACGTGAAAAAATGCATTTTCTTTTCCATCTCTCTTCGTTGAATTCTTATTGTGTTCGATTAAAAATCCACAAAAAACATATTAAAATGGTAGTTTTCAAGTTTATAAAAAGGAAATTCTTTTTCCTCAACTTGGATTTTATCTGCTGGATGATATAATTTTTACAATTGAATAATCGAATAAATTGCAAACACGAAACAGCTAAACGGGGTCAATTCTTTAAAATCGATTATCTTATTAATCAAGGTTGAAAGTGGAATTAAAATATAAATTATGACGAATAATAAATTTCAAATTCTTACACTCGTACTTTAATCGTATTTTTCATGCTTTTGTTCATCCGAGCAAAGATTAAAGTTTATTTTTATTGAACCAGATTAAGAATAAAATCTATTTTAGATTGACGAAATAATTGTTAATGATTTATTTAATCCACAAATTATTAAATATTGAAAATGACTTTTGTAGTTTGTATAGTTAGTAAAATATAAGGTGTTTTTATCAAAAATTTTAAACTGTGAGCAAAGTTTAAATATATATTTAAAGATAATAATTATTTAAGTCATTAAAATTAATAATAATAATAATTAACCGTTTCGCAACTGAAGAGGTTGCTTTAAATATAAAATTTAACATTAAAGAAGAGAATTTCTCTAATATTTTCCCCGTCCCGAATTGCAAAAATAATAGGAAAAAAAACTAAACAACATACTTATTAAGGAAATATCCTTCTGATAAGGTAAATGTACAGTTTATTTCTAAAATAACGTATAATTTAAAACTTTTTAACATAAATATTTGCTTTTAAAAAAATGATTATCATTTAAACAATAAAGTTATAAAGAAATTCTGTTTATAGCGCTAAAGAATTGAGAGTGAAATTATTTCTAAAAAAATGAATAGTAATATCAGTTTCTATTTTTTTAAATTTAATAATTATGATATAATTCTAATTATTGCAAATTTATTTCTTTGAAAATTAATGAGAAAATAGAATGTTTTTTTTTCCATTTAAGAAATGCTGATTACTGAAACATAAACTTGCGTTAAATTACAACAACAACAAAAAAGTATTAAGCGAACAAAATTGAATTAATTTAACACTATTATTAATTTTATCAGATAATTTTCCATCGTTTATTTACTCTTATTTTTATATGGCTTATTTTCTTGGAAAAAATGTCGACTTTATGTCCAACAAATAGAGCTTGTGTCTTTTATCATCGATGCGAGTAGTTTAGTGCGTAAGTAAGGCCTTATCATTTATTTCCAGCTATTAACTAACGTTTATTGCAGTCGTGTAGAACAGATATCAGTCGTGTGTACAACAGCAAGGTCGAATCACTAATTCTACTAATAATTTTATAATTCTACGAATAGAAAAATTTTAAAAATAACATACGAAAGAGTGCCTTAAATGTACAGTACAGTACATCTATATTTTTTTTTTTTTACAATAAAAGAAATATATTTTAACTAAAAAATTAAGAGGACAAACAGCTGAATTTTGTTACTTACTTCTCGAAAATTTTCCTAAAGTCTATCCTAATTATCATCCTGTATTTTGGAGCAAGGACAGAAACGATGCTTCTTTCCTCATCCAAATGAGAATAACATCTAGCAAAGCAGACAGGTGCAGTCAACAGAAGGGTCTATTACCACCGAGGCGATTAAAGGGGTGGTCGGGTTGGTCTATAGCAACGTGGATGTCAACAAACTAGTCTACATGCCACATGAGCGGAAATCACGTGATCGAAACATCTATAATTTCCAAACTTAATGAAGCATTTGCTAGATGAAATCTAATTTTACGTTAATAAAAAAGTGTTTTTATTACCCATAACGAACTGTAAGAAGAATAATAATGCGCTCGGAATTTAAAAAATTCAATAAATTTTAAGGAAAATTCCGTTTAAACTTAGTTAGGCCTAAATATAGTAGCTCTAAACACACACCAAAACACTTGAAAATATCTATAATGGGGATGGAACTATAGGGAGTGGGGATCTGGTTTATGTAGAGTACTACACTTAATTCTTGCCTTTAATAATCTACATCTAAGCTTGATGTCGCGCTACGTCTACCGTGAATCAAATAATAAATCATATAAATTATACCATATTTATGGCAGGATATATTTTTAAAGTCTAATAAATTACATGTATATATACTATACGTGATAGTATGTAATAATTCAAATTGTTCATTGTTTAAATATGTAAATCGAGCCGATTAACTATGTAATTTATTAGTGACAAAAATCGCAATCTGTGCAAATCCTGTATTGATTTTGTTTCCGAGTGTACGAATTGTAACATATGAATTAAAAAATTGGAACAAATCTATTAAATAATGACCGCGTGTCAATCAATATGCAATATAATGTATAATTAATTTTAAAAAATGTGAACTCTGCAAAGAAAAATATAAAGTTTTTAAGTCTATATATGTCGAATTTTTTCTTGATTAATCTACTCATTGATGTGGAGTTTATAAATAGAAGTCATGAAAATCTTTATGTAGACCTTTATATAGAAGCTTTATAGCAATCGAGGATAAGAATTTACGTAAATTATAGAAAAACAAAGATTTCTTCATAAGTTTAAAGTTAATAAATCGAACAAACCCTTAACACTTCTAACAAAAAATAAAGGAATAAGTAATCTTCTCTGTAATTTAGCCTAAAATTTCAGATTTATTTTAAAAAAAATATATTTTTAAATACAATTTCGCAAACGTTTATAATATTAAGTATAAAAGAGTTAATAAGAGCTATAAATATGATAGAATGTCTAGGAAAATAACTCGAATACATGCTTACCTAACCTAAAATTTACGGTCATTGAAAATACGTGTCGATAAAGCTCTATTTTATATTTAAAAAGTAGAAAAAAAATCTATATATATATATNAAAAAAACAAGATAATGAAATTTAAATAAGAATAATTCCGCTTCGAGCTATCATATTTGCATTTTACTAACAAGAATAATATGATTAAGACCATAAAAAAAGAATATAGAAATAATTATATATATATATATATATACAGTATTAATTTTCATATTTTTAGATTTAAAAAAAATTTGCATTTCGTGCAAATTTCCATTTAAAACGGTAAGTTGAAGTTGTTTGATTTGAATTTCATTTACATTCATCACTTGTCGATATTTTGAAGCCAGTCTATCAATTTCTTTTCTATGGGACAATGATGTATGAGCTACGATATCACATATGATACTGTACGTTACATAAAACAAATTTATGATCTTGAAATAACTTTTTATGTGGTCGATTAAGTTTTAATAATGTTACAGTCCTGTGTGTTCTTGTTGTTTATAATATAATAATCGGATAGACCTATAAAAATATAATTTAATTCGAATTAAACGAAATTCGGTTATATGCTGATTTTACAATCGATTCAAAGAATGATAAGTAAGTAGGACTACTTATATTTCATAAAAGAAGGAAAAAAAATTATTATTATTATTTTTAAAAGTTAAATTCTCGGAAGTACTGTACTTATTATTTACTGGCTTATCTTACTAGGAAATAATCTTAATTCTATAAATAATGGAATATTTGGGAAAGACAATTGTTGGAATAGCCTACTAGTTCATAAAGCAGGAAATATAAGAATTTCTAGGTAATTACAATTTATCAATTTTAAAATAAACTTATCTACATCTATTGTTCTTACTTTTTTTATTGTGTAATAAGTATATTAATTTTGGACACGATATTAGTTGAAATTAATATACTTACCCACTCGCCTGAGGTGATTTTACATATGAAAAACTAAATTAAAAGTGTTATTTTTAATTTTATAGAGCTTCGAATGAAATTTTGTCACAATGAGCGGGAATTAAGAACATTTTCCTTTGTTAAGATATTAATTTATTTAATAATAAGTTTTAATTAGATATTTATCAAACAAAGAATGCTATTAACTAAAACCTGTCAACATGTTTTAAAAAATATATTTTATAAGATTAATGAAGTTAAGAAAATTATGCACAGATAATAAATTATTCTAGAATTTAAATTATGTTTTTATATTTAAAAAATCATTGAATATTTATAAGGAAAAAAATGATTGTAATGTTCTCGTCACTCTTAGTGCTATTTACAATAATTAAATATTTAAAAAATTATTCAAGTTATTGTATACAGATATTCTACTCTTAACAGAACATTCCATTTATTTGATTTTTCGATATGATCTAAACAAAGAACTATTTAAGATTCGTAATGGGGCTATAATCTTTCAGAATGTCCTTCACTCAGCGGACAAAGTATCTAGTTTATTTTGTATTTGATGTGCAAATAGTTATAAACACGCAATGATCTTTCTGATAATTTGATTCGATATCGATTTCAATAATTCTACAATTAACAGTAGATGAAATTTTTAATCTAAATCGAAAATACAATAATAAAATATTGAGAACAAAGTTCGATCATAACAGAAATAGTATTTAAGCTATTTTTATAAATACCATAAAGTGTAATGGAAATTTGATATACTTATTTTGATGATTACGTATTTAGTTTCATGACAGATGGAAAATTGCATTTATAAAAAGTAGAATTTATGCTATATGACATTTAATATTTCTTATACAATAGTATATTTTCCATTATTCTCTCTTGTACAATATTAAAAATGTGAAATCAATACTGTTTATATAATAATCATTGTACTGTACTGTACAATTTAAACTAGAGCATAAAGGATAAAGAGTAGAATTAGATAAACTGAGTTGGAGATTTTTCTCTAATATATATTATTCGAAAAATCATAAATTTCAATCTTTGTTCACTTTTTAAAACTATTTTATACTAAATAAAAATATATTTTATAACTCTTTCTGTAAAAATTCTTTTTTATTTTAATTCCAAGTGAGGTTATAAGGTAAAATAGACAAAGATGTTCCACTTCCGAAGGTAACCCATCAGTTATATTTTTAAATTAAATATTATAATTGCATTTTTTTCTGTAATAGCGATTTTTTCACTTAATTATATTTTTAAATTAATTAAATTTTGAAAAAGTATAATAGATCAGCTGCTTGTTTTCGATTAGAATAATTAGACTTTTACTCAAACATTCTTAAAATTTATGTAAAATAATTAATCATTTTAAAATAGGGCTAGTCACATTTTAATAATGTAAAAGATAGTTACAACAATCGATATAAATATTCATCTACGCGAAAAAACAATATAAAAAAAATGCAAATTAAGCCAATAAAATGTTAAACTTTCAATGTTTGAAAGTGTAGAACATAGAAGCAAAAACGCTCATGGGATTTAATCACATCATTTAAATCTTTCCCAGACATCCATCCGTTCCAGACTATTAAGCCAACAATAATAGATTTTAGATGTCCTGCTCTGCTGACCGACTAGTAAAATTTCTCACTATCTCTTTCTACGGAAACAATCGAATAAAAGAATAAAACCACTTACTTTGTTAGATTAGAAATCACTGAGGTTACCTTTGATCAAGTTTTTTATTCAATTAATCTAGATACATATGCATAAGATCGTGATAAAAATTCATTTTAACCTCGTGAAAACTTTTACAATCTATTAGATAAAAATTTTAAATTATCGTAATATAAATCGGTAATTAAAAGATTGAAATAATTTCTGATTAATTAATTAACTAATAATTACTGTAATCACAGCATAATTTTCTACGTCCTTCTATTGCGATTTATATCTAGAAACCTGACTATTAAAATAATATATTTGTTCGCTTTTATTTATTTAAAAATATAAAGAAAGTCTTCTTTATTTGGGGAATATATGCAGAAAAATATCTCTGCTTTCATTTGTTTCAGTGACTGTGTAGAGATAAGTGATGTCCTCTGCCTTTAATCTNCCATCAGTTATATTCTTTGGTATTTTTAACGAATAGAGAGCCTAACGACTTCATCCATTTAAACGCATATATTTTTATGTAGATTTTTCATTAAAGAAATACTAGAATCATTTTAAGATTCTACAACAGCACTATGCTTAAAACTGAATTTTTAAGCCTGATATTACTTACAATCTTCAAATAATCCCGGTGCTTCTTTTAAAAAAGATAATCTACGATTTAAACATTATCTAATTTTAGTTCTTGTTGTTTATTTATTTATTTTATAGAAAGCTTTAGTGAGTGTGTGATATTTTTGTGTTCAGAATATTTAAATTCCTAACTTAGAATAACGAATTTTTTATTTAGTTTCATTATAAAACTCTTCTAGTCAAAACATCACATTGCATTTTTCTTATTTCAAGAAAAAAAGATTAACTAATTAACTTTCTAGCATTTAAATGTTAAGCACCATTAAAATTTTCTCTTTGAAGATGTATTAAATATACACTGGGTTGATATCTTACACTTAAATTCTACGTTTGTTAAGTAAAGATGATGATGATTTACTTTTTATGCACAAAATAATCAATAAAAAATTATACCAGAAAGAACGTTTCCTCCCTTTATTTTTTTTCTTACTTATCAGTAAACACAAAAGAAAATATCAAACGCTAAAAGCAATAATGCCCTAATTACTAGAAAGCTGTATTGAACGACTTATCGAATTCAAAACAATCAAACCATTATTAAAATTTTTGAAGGGGTTACGCCTATATCTATATAATTATATATCAACAAAATAAGGGGCCTAGAGGCCTGTTTACGTTAAGAGGCCTGCTAGGGACAACTGTTACGTGACATTCAATGACCTCATTTGGGCAAGATTGATTCCGTGATATTTTAATTGCTTGTCACTTAGCAGGGGGTAATATGCAACCTCAATATCCACGGATGTTCTTTCTGATGAAACAC